TACCACGTCGTACTAGATCGATAAAAATTCAAATAAAGTAATATAATTAATATAAATGTCAAATACTTTAAATAAGCTACAAAATAATAAAAATGATTACAATGTGTTGATGATAAAAATAGAAAGAAACGTTCGGATAAATAAAAGCTAATAGAAATGAATATAAAGAAAAGAAATATATTTTTACCGTGTATATATTAAAACGTTACTTCGAAATTTTCATTACATTCATTTTTCAATATTTTGTCTCTACAAATACGTTGTTCATCGATTCAAGTGTATACGTGTGACGATAGTAATCAGTGTGATGGAAGCTCGTCAGAAAAACGTGCGAAAGGATTTATGAAATTGCATGGATGCATGCATTTCATGATAGGTTGTGTGAGAAAAAAAAAGAGAAAGAGAAAGAGAGATGTAATCCGTGTCGAACTCTTTCCTCGTACAAGTTATCGCGGTCTGATGCTCAATGTGGATATACGATGATATTGGTATGGATGAATGGAGAAAGCTTTTTGATAAAGTATTATCTAATTACGATACAAAAGAGATACAAATTATGTAAATCCTATATCGATGAAAATTCATTTAAAGGTACGATAAGAGGAGCTCGATGTTATTGTTTATATACAATATAATATTAATCAAATTTATTTTTTCATGTAAATACAACATAAATGATAAAAAACAAAAAAGAGAACAGATAAAATTTACTACAAAAAAAAAACACGAAGAAAGAAATAAAAAGAAATTTATTACAATGTACCAAAAGCTCTACTAGCATCAGATAAAAAATTTCACGAGATAAGTTTTACGAAATCGGACAAAAAAAATTTTCTAGGACGAACGAGAGATTTTGCGATGTTAAAAAATAACAGAAAAAAAGAAAAATAATAATTAATTTAAAAAGTTGTCGGAAAAAGTTATAATTAATTTTTTTACAAAATAACTTGCTATTACTTTTAACCAACTCGTATATTTTTTGGGGTTGGCGTGGGGGGATAAAGTTTCATGGTTCGTATGTTTTAAAATGAATAAAAAATTAGATAACAAAGTTTGGAAAAAAATAAAATTAGTCAACTAATTAATTAATTAATTGAAAAAAAAGAATAATGTAAAAACTTTTAGTTCAGCAAGTGTAAGATGGTGGGTAAATATAATATGGTAGGAGGACAATGTGCTAGGAATAGAACTACTACACTAGTAGTATGGTATCCCAGGTCCTGAGGTAAGCACGAGTGCACACGTTTGACAATGAGGTACGTAGGAATGAGGAAAGGGGTAGAGAGGGTTAGGGGGGATTGGCAAAAGTAGGAGATCCGCTCGCAACGGTTCTTCGAAGTAGTCAATAACGATGCAAACGAGCTCGCCGTCGTGGCCTCTTAAAGAGAAGTGGAAAGTGCTGCTGTGCATACATACACATATACATATATGTACATACGTATATACATATATACACACATATATACTCTCACTCTCCTGTATGTTTTCCTTCCTAATAAGAAGCTAGAGAATAGCTATGAACATTGAAATGCGCACTCTCTTCCTCTCTTCACTAGTAAAATCGAACTTTTGAATCATTGAATCGAACAATTTACTGCATTAACTTTGTCGAAATTTAATAATTTAATAAATTTTTTTTTTAATAATAAGAAAAAAAAATAAAAGAAATAAAATATGATTTTTATGTTATAAAATAATTATCGAGTTGCTACAGATTTGATTTCATTAAATCGAATAGAATTCAATTAAGAAAACAATTTCTAATTATTAATTAGTGTTATAGTGATAGAACGTTCTTATTGTTAGTTACGATTCGCATCGTAACAAAGTTTGTAGAACTAATTAGTCAGCAGGAAGTTAGATCAATGTATTAAGATAGAGCAATGCTAATATAGAGCTTTATATTAGAGTTATTTTATTGTTTGTACAGAGAATACACTAACAATTCGTAATCATTTCTAAACGTAATAGTAAAAATAATAATATAATATTTACTTTTACGGTTAGGTGAGAATACAATTACATCGGGATTGTAATCAACAATGTTTGGTAGTGGGTGATTCTTATACGAGAATGTTACCCTTATCTTATACAGAAAAAGTTCTTTTAGTATAGAAACAATAAAAATGTAGAACAGGAATACAGTGTAGGTAGGTAGGTAAATACAGGAGGTGAGAGGTGGAGTGGGATGTTGGAAACGATAGAAAAGAATTTTGCTGTAATGTTCGAACCGAGAGAAAAGTTTCGAGCGAGTTTCTTTCTTACATAGACGTTACAGAATGAGAAACAAAAAGATAAAAAAAGAAAGAGAGAGAGAGAGAAAAGAAAAATCTAGTTGGATCGTTAACGATGAAATTTAACACGATGTATCTCCGTTTTTCTTTACTTTCGTTTAAACTTTTTCAATATATTTCGTACTTATTATTCGTTTTTACAAATTAATCTGAACAACGAATCGAATCGTATTTTCCTTAATTTCATTCGTAATAAGACTGACAGAATAGTGTGAGGGAAAGAAAAAAAGAAAAAATAGAAAGATAATAAAGATGTTGCTTTTGATTTTCCTCGGAATCCTTTTATCTGTACGATGGGGTTTTTATTTGGTTCTCGACCTAACGCCTTTTCTTCGCTCAATTGCAAGAAAAAAAAAAAAGAAAGAAGAAGAAAGAAAATAGATTGAAAAACAAAAAAAAAAACTCAACGGAGGAGATCTAACGTAAAGGAAACGAATCGAGTTTTAGTAAAGAAAATAAGAGAGAGAGAAAGACAATGAGTGAAATAAGGGGGATGGGAAAGAGAGTGAAAACGAGAAAGGGAAAGAGAGAGAGAGAGAGCGGAAAAAGCAAATAAAAAAGAAAGTTGTCCGTTTCGTCTTTCTTTCTCTCTCTTTCTCTCCTTTTTTCTTTTTACATTGAAAGATCTCTCATTCTTCTTACTTTCAGTTGAAATTTATTCAAGTAGAAACAACCGGTATTTCAATCGCGTTTTCCGATGCATTTCAATGAATAAAAAGGTAAAAAATAGGAAAGAGAAAGAGAGAGAAATGGTGAAGGGGAGAGGAGTGAGAAAGAGAGAGTTAAAGAGAAAAAGGAAACTATTTAAAGAGGTGGCGACAACGAATGAAATCGAGAGATGAAAAAAATTCAGTATTAAACGTGAGACTTATGGGGGTTGTTGAAGAGAGTAAAAGGTAAGGATCCTTGGTAGAATAGAGAATCTTGTAGAAAAATTCTTTACAAATTATTTTTTTTTCCTTCCCGTATTTTTCACCGCTTATAAAAATTTTATTCTATTTTATTTTATTTGATTTATTCTTTTTTTTTTTAAATTCATTTCAACGTAACGATTTCCTTCCTTCTGTCTATCTCTTCCTCTCTCTCTTTATTTTTACGAAGAAGAAAAAAAAGTAGATGAAAGAGATAAAAAAAAAAGAAAGGACAGTGATGGTGATGGCGATGGTGATGGTGATGGTGGGTAAAGGAAAGAAATAGTAATAATAGTAATTTTTTTAAACGTTCATTTCTCCGACGTTGATACTCGGATTCACGCTTGACTTCGATTCCCGATATTATTCTTAGCTTGGTATTGGATACTATGGGAAATAGAGGGAGAAAGAGAAGAGAGAGCAAGAGAGAGAGAGAGAGAGAGAGAGAGAGAGAGAGAGATGAAAGCTTGGTGCTTTAAAGCACGTCCGTTAGACCAGATCGAGAATGGTCCTGCATAGAGTCGAGAAAGACGGGTTACCTCGTTCGGTTCTTTACTACAGAAATAGAGAAATAGAGAAATAGAGAAATAGAGAAGGAAATGGTAGATGGATGGAAACGAACGGACGAGTAATTAAAAGCAGCGACCCTAATTATTTTCGCGAGGATGTAACTTCAATCGTCGTCTATCTTCTGTCGTCCTTCTGAGTGATGGGGTCTATCTCCTATAGACCAAAAAAGATAAAAAAAGAAAAAACTCTAATCATAGAAAAGGATACATATATCAAAAAAAAAAAAATATTGAAAGAAAAAGAGAAAAAAAAAAGAGAAAGAAGAAAGGAAAGGATAAATGAAACAAGAAAAAGAGGGAGAGAGGGAGAGAGAGAAAATGTTAAATAAAACTCTGATAGGTCAAAAAAATGAAGAAAACTAAAATCATAGAAAACGATACAAACGGAGAGAAATAGAAAAGAAAAAGAGAGATGGTAAAAGAAAACGAGATGAATGAAACAAGAAAAAGAGAGAGAGAGATAAAGAGAGGGGGAGGAAGAGAGAAAATGTTAAATAAAACGAGAACTAATGAGAGTAGTGGATAGAAAATATTTTGATAGTAACCTATATAGAAAATAAAGAGAAAATATAGAAAAGGATAAAAAGGGATTGAAAGGGTAGAAGGGGGGGATAAACGGGGATATATAGAAAGGGTTAGTAAGAGTAAGAAAGAGATAGAAAATAAAGTAAAGGAGGAAAGAGAAAGTTATCGTCCTGTTCTGGGCTACAATCGTGGCTACAATCGTGGCTTCATCGTGAATACGAATGAGCTCTTGGTCGATCAGGCTGGGCCACTAATTGAGAAAGTTCTACGCCGTGGTCGATGTTTCCTCTGGATGAAGATAGTCGAACTATTCCCTCTATTCTCCTAGTCTACCTAGGTTACCTATACTTTCTTCGAGTAACACACAAGAAATGCTTTACATATTTCTTTCACTTTTTCTTACGTTATTGATGAATTCTAGTTTTTGTTTTCTTCGTCGTATGTAATTAATCTTCGAATTAAATTTAATTATACTATTATTCTTATTTGATTGGTAAATAGAAATAAAATTTCAATTTTATGGTCTAAACAAATTATGTGTTTATTTTTTATAAAGGTTTCGTTTTGAAAATTGTTTTTTGTATTCTATATTACCATATAGAAGCTTTTATGGTGTATTCTAAAACGATTGAACGAGTTAAATATGATTTTTAATTAAGTTTCATTCGCTTTAGTGTAATTATTATTGTAATTATACTTACCAGTAGTATGTATGAGATAAATTAAAGTTGTTACAAGTAGTAGAGGCAGCAACACGCTCAACACCATTTTCGTTCAACTTTCCATAATCAACGAGGATATTTATGTGAAGTTTTCTGTAATAGAAAAAATATAATATAATGGAAGAATTATAATCATAATTTGTATATGTTTCCGGATTAAACGATAACCACAAAAGATAACTGATGTATATGTATCAATAATGATAAATCAATTCGGTCAAATTCACGTCTTCTATAGTTTGTCATTATTCGATTTGCGTATGGGTAATCAGATGAAAATCTTCATAATTTATTCTATAAAACATTTACCTTTCGAAATGATGTTTGAAATAGATGTTTGCACATGGTCACGAGAATAACGTTTGTTTGACTATGTTAAATTATTTATGAGAGATCGATATATGTATATGTGTATATATATATGTATATATGATAAATATAATAAATATATATATATCATATTATTAAGAGCTTCATCATTTCATTAATTTATTTATACTCAATTCTATAATTTAGAGTAATCATTGTCAATTTTTTAAATAAATTAATACACATATAACCAAACATAAATTTTTGAAATGTTAAATTTCAAATTTTACTGAAATTAATAGTATGTTGTTAATTATTGGATACATTCGTAAATTAAAGTCTGTAAATAAGATTGATAATTCGAAACTATAATAAAAACAAATATGTTATATTACATCCTCGTCATACCATATGTTTCAAAGTTTTCATTATCTTTTTTCATAATCTGTACAGCTAACTACGAGTTTATTATTTAAAAAATATTATTTATTCTCTATTATTATTATAATATAAATAAATATTTAACAATGTAAATATTTTGTGGGTTGTTTATTAATCTTATACATATAATTGTTCCATGTAATAAACACACAAAAAAATAAAAAAGAATATTTTTTAAATGATATAGAATTTCATTTCATTTCTATGCCAATGGGATTCATAACAGAGGATACATTTTTTCCTTCTCATCTTATGGATTTATGGAAAATGATTGTAATCCTTCGAATAGAGGGTTAATTTTACTAGGTGAGACTTCTCAATCGGTGAATCATGAAATTCCTCTTCGGAATAATAGAATTCCTGGCGGATCGCATAACAAAGCTAATTGTATATATATATATGTACACATTCTTCTTTATTATCCTAATTTTGCAGAGTCTGCATAACTAAACGGATGCAGTTACATACTACTCGTCCTATCGAGTAATTGCTAATGCAAATTGTCTCGCATTAGCGACGATTTGTCGCAGAACGTACGGAGCGCATAATCATCGTCTCGTTATGTTCCCAGTGTTCGTATTGTTGTTATCTCTTTCTCCTTCTCTCTCTCTTTCTGTTTCTCTGTCTTTCTCTTATTCATTCATTCACTCACTCACTCTCCCTTTCTCTCTTCTACAAAAGTATGCAGTTTGCGAACTTCGTACAATCGTCTCCTCGTTTCTCGACTATTCTCGATTTAAACTGTGCAATACTTGTTAGGCTAATTTCATCATTATGATTAAAAACGAGCATCATTTTTGAAAATGTACTTGTTCTCTAAACGTTTATAGCTATCATTGAATTAATCACTCGATTAATAATAATATTTAATAGTTTAATAATAGAACAAATGATTCTATCTTTCTAAAATTTCCATGGTCCATTATTGAAACTGTTGAATCACTTGTAGGAATAATTATCTTGAGTATTTTATATTAGGGTATTTTCATATCGTTAATGTTGCAAATATGACGATCAGGATTTTTCTTAATGATAATTCTTTTAATAATATATTGAAAATTCGAAAAATTGTATATTGAGTGTAATTATTATTATATTAGAATGAAGTTTATTTTTCACAGCAATGCCAATTATCATTAAACTTTTGTTATTTCTTAAATGAATCCTCGACCAATAGCAAATCAGGTATTACGTTTAGAATATCTTACTTATAATTTATCTTTATATAAGTGGAAAACTTACTTTATAGAACACTTTATTTTTTCTTTTTATACCTAATTAGTTTATTAGTATAAACATTGAAAATTAAATGAAATGTAAGAAATCATTTGAATATTTTAAAATAAATTAGAAAAAATTCGAATAATATAATGAAATTATTCTAGTAATTGTTTAAGAAAAAATATTTCGTCGAAATAATTTTCTTCAAAATGTTCATAGCAAAAAAGAGAATAGGTATATACATATATATATATATATATATATATATATATATATATATATATATATATATATATNCATAGTATATTTCGTACACATCCGGAAGATACGGATCTTATCCGTGACGGATCGTAAATCGTGCCTGCGGCGAGCTCGCGAATATTCATGCAACGTCACACCGTCGCATCGTGCTTTACGATTTGCATTTATCCTATCCCCTTCGATGTTCTCTCGCGAATTATTAACTTTTCCTCTCTTCCCTTCTTCTTCATCTTCTTCTCTCTTCTCTCCTCTCCTCGTTCATTTCGTCTTTTTCTGTCATTTCGATCGATGAACGAATTCTCAATTTTATTATTTCTCTCTCTCTCTCTTTTTTTCTTTCATTTTCACACTTACAGAACTTTCCGTACGAGGAAAAAAACTTTTTCTCGCGACGAGAAGTCGGGGAAGAAAAAGACAAAAAAACATATTCGAAGAAAAATGAAGACTCGGAGAACGAGGATAAAGGGGTGTAGGATAGAAACTTGGTCGAAGGATACAGTTTGTGTTAAAAGAAAAAAAAGAATGAAAATAAATAGTTTCATCGTACGCGAAAAATCATTTTTCGATTTATTATTTTGGAATCAAATATAATTGATTTCTTTTTTTTCCTATTTTTTCTCTCTTTCTATTCTTTTGTTTCTATACTATTACCTTGATCGAGTAAATTAAGGTTATTATCGATTTTATTTCTCTTATATTATGCTTTTTTCTTTTATTCATGTTTAATACTGACTTCATAAAAAAAAAAAATTATTAATAAGTTCTAGGAAAATTTTCCATTTTCGTTTTTTCTCTTTCTCTCTCTTTATTTCTTTTATCATTATGCAAGAACATATCGTAAACGTTTATTATTTTATTTTCTTTTTTCTTTTTTTTTACGACAAAAGAAAATACTAAGGATTAAACGTAATATTCTTAGACGATGTATTATGTGGATAAAAGTTCGGTAGGATGGTACGCAATTTCCTTATTGTCAGATATCTTCTTAATCTCTCTTCCCGAATCTTCTTTGCTTGGATTATAAAAGGTCTATTCAACCACCCACGGAATACGATAATAGGTTCATTTTCCTTCTTCTTCTTTTTTTTCTGTAGTAAAGATTACGTTGACAACGCATCAAGAATACCTTCTTTCATTTCCCTTTTATAAAGGTTTCATTAGTTTTATAAACCTATTGCGAAATAATATATAATAAATTATTATAATTTATGTATCTAATTTGTTCCATTTAGTTTTTTAAAAATCAAGAAAAGAAACCAGTATCTTTGAGTAATTAGTAATGAGCAATCAATAAAGGAGTAAGTGAACAAATGAACAAATGAGCAAATGAGTAAATGTGCAAATAAGTAAATGGACAAATGAACAAGTTTTACCGTCATCCTATTTTCTTATTAAAATAAAAAATTAATAGACATAATTTGAAAGATATGACAATAGTAAAAAAGATAAGAGATTAGTTGTTGGTTAGTTTCGAATTTCAATTAAGTACGATAAATTGGTTACTACCAATTACGTTCCCAAGAGCGCAATTTGTTCTCTTCGTCGATGAATCAAGAATCTAAATTTTCGTTTCGATCGATTTGTTCACTTTCTCTCTCTTTTACACACACACACACACACACACGAACACAATACACACACATATCCAAACAAACAAAACACACATACTCATACATCTTTACTTTCGTAAATATTTCTGTACTCTTGCAAACGCATTTGAAAATATCGAGTACTTATCTTTGACCTATTTAAAATTTATGTGAATATGTACTGTGTAATATCCAGTAAACTTATCGATATTATATTTATATATATACATACATACTCACACACCCACATACATATACGTATACATCAATATACAACAAACGTATATATTTGTAGTACATAAGTTCAGAGGATTATAATTGGTAGACATTCTAAACACTACGTCATTTCCATAATTTTTCTATATCGTTCGATGCGATGCAATGCGATGCAATGCAATGCAATGCAATGCAATACCATGCAAGTCTAGCAGAGTGGAGGTCGATTTACAATCGTGCTTGCAAATCGTTTCGAAGTACGAATATTCATGTCGGTGGGAAAGGATTAACATTGATTTGCGGTTGCATGAATGTGTGTTTGTGTGTGTGTCCTGTGTATATATATATATGAATGGTATATTCGTGGAAGGCTTTCCGTAGGGTAGTTTCTCTGTACGTGTGTGTCTGTGTAAAGGGAGGGAAGGGGGTTAGATGGGTGGATGCGTTGGGTGACCGAGGCGTAAATTGCGACGAATTAATCTTGGATCAAGCGCGCGCCCAATCATTTGAATTATATTTCCTTCTTCTCACCGTTTCATATTTTATATGCGAAGACGAACATATTCAATGACAGTACAATGAAATTATACGAAGGTAAGTATGTGGGTGTGTAGATGTGTTAGTTTCATGTGCAAGAGAGAAAGAGTAAAACAAAAAGAACATTAAAGGATAATTTCAATTCTCATTAATAACGTAATTGGAGGTAGTTTTCTCACACATATGATTCTTGATTTATTTTCATTATTTCCTTTCTTTTTTTCTCGTTCTTTTTTTTTACCCTAATTGTAAGCTTTATTTTATTATTTTTTTTTGCCTAAAAACGAGTTTGGTATCATAATCTTTATCTAGGAGAAAAAAAAATTGGGAATATTTTCGAGAATTATAAAGATAATATCTTTTTTCTTGATTATGACAAATACAACGTGATGCGTTGTAAAATTTTAAGTACGAACATAAAAAGGTCTCTTTAAATTTTCAACGTCCTTATGAAATATTCATTCAATTTGTCTTTTTTTTTATTCTCTCTCTCTTTCTATCTCTGGTATGATCTAATTT